ATGTGGAGAGAATTAGCTTTATGGCTTCCTATCTTGGAGACTGGAGTCCTTTTTTTAAGATGCAAATAGAATAGTGGAAAGTGCTGTATAGCATTAAATGTGTTTACGGCCTTTATTCTGTTCGTATTAAATTTAATTTCCGTAACTGTTCCTTCACCTTTAAATCAGGCGAAATGTTGGGAGTGCTGTTTCTCTTTGGATCACAATCGTTTCAGCCTCTGACCACACTTCACAAAAGTGCACATATTTATGGCTGGCTGCACGACTGAGATACTCTGCGGCCTGTAATACAAATAGAGCTGTTGATTTACAAATAGGATTTTTTTTTTTCACAGTTGTTGCTGTTGCTTTCACGGGCAGAAAGACACATTTTAAGTCAAGATATAAATGGAAGAAATCTTTGAAGCAATTATTCTAACTTTGCAGTACACGGTGGCAATGCTTTTGGAAAAGGTGTATCGGGTTACCTTTCTCTGTTCTGTTTCAGCGAGCAGCTTCTTCGGCCTTTCCTCAGCCCGTCGAGCTGCCTAGGCAACAATCAGAGCAGAGAGGGCTGAGGCATCGTGAAGAGAAATGTACAGTGGTGGAGTGGTAGGAAATTACAAAAGGAATCAATTCAATGAGTTCCCTCCACGAAAAAAAAAATGTCTGTAAATCAGGCAGGTGGCCAGAGCCAAACAACAACCTTTTAAGAGCCTGTCTACCGAGGCACAATGCATTACAGAGCAAGAGAGAGCTCAGTAATATGGCTACTTCTGCACGAAACCCTTTCTTTTTGCTCTCAACCGCTAACCCAACACAGCAGTTCTGTCAACTACATAACCTTGATGCTTTTTCTACTGACCTTATTTGTATGTCTTTATCATTGCCATGATATCGGGCTTCTCTTACAAAACATATTAGAAGCAAAGCATGCTGCGCTTTTCTGTAATGCCAGAACATCAAAGTGTTTCTTTCCCCAAAGGAGACGTCCACCTTTTGAAAAATGTGGCACTTATTCTGACACGACCACGCCGGCATGAAAGTGAAAATGAAGACTTATCAGTCTTCACCTCTTAACTGTCAAAAGGCAGTACAGTTGAAGCTGTAATCATTTTTAAAGAGTGGGCTTTGAACACCAGGTCGTTACTTTTCCTCTAAAAGCAGTTTGCAGAGCACATTTCTGTGTTTTTTTTGATAACAAATATCAGGTCCTCTAAAACAATTCTTTTTCCAATTACATTCCTGGTTGAATATCACTTCCTGCGCTGTTTTCCCATGTTTCTCCCTGTGACGCTATCACCTCAGAGGACAAGAAGCTTAATGGAGGTTGTAAATATAGTAAAAGGCAAGGTCAGCAGGAAAACCACTGATGGAATAAATTAGTGCCCCGTTCTAAAGAAAACAACAGAGAAGACAACATGAAATATAACAGTAAGAAGGGGTAAAGTGGTCCGAAGGCCAGTATCCACTCCTGATTTATTAAACTAGAGAGGCAACCTAACCCTTCTCCACTGATGTGTCATGTTCCCTGTGACCTGTCCATGAACATCCATATGGCAGGAGTGTCAGACTGGGGTTTTGAACTAGCATTAGGTGGTCACTGTGGTGCTCGTTTGAGTTAAGACATGCATATCTGTGTGCCTGCACCACATCAATTTTCAGTGTCTGCCACTGATAAATGACGAGGCCACTTGAGGACTGGTGAGCATGAGTTTATTCCCACATGTGGCAACGTGCAGAAACAGCACATCCATGCAACACTGCAAACCCGAGCTGCTGTGCAACCACAGTAGGTGCAAATAGTCAAAGAAATAACATGAGACACTGGGTGATATAACACATAAAACATGTGTTGGCAAGTGAAAGAGTAGCGGTAGTGTGTGTTGCCTGATCCCAGACTGAGGTGTAATGGATGCATGACACAGAATATTTCCTCTGTAAATCGCACGGCTGTTCCACTTTCCTGGTTGACTGGGCAGCTTTCTTCTTTATCTACTGTGGGTTCATTGTGTGAATTGCATCCTTTTCAGAATTATTCTCCTGCCACATACAGCCAATTGCCAAACAAAGTTATTATGGGACAGCACATCACAATAAAACTACACTGTGTAATTGTGCAGAGATTGACGCCACGCAGTGGGCAATCAAAGCTGCCGCGCCGTAGGAGTCTACAGCCGTTTGCATTGGAAATTATGTTTGGTAAAGGGAAAGAGACTGCCAGTCAGAAATGTGTACGTGTGTGCGCTTGTGTGTCCGTGCACGATATTCCAAGAACATCAGCGTTACCTTGGTTACTAATCCTATTTACTGAGGATTGGATCCATTATTCAGGTTCTTCGTCTCAAAGCTGAATAGTTGTTATCACAGTGTGTCAGGGACAGAGACTCAGAGCAGGCAAATATTAAATATTCAGTGTTTTCTTCACAATATTTCACAGTATTTAATGGACTAACTGTAATCCGTTTTGGAACATAAACTGTAATGAAAACCGGGATTTTTCCAGCTATAAAAAAACAAAACGACATGCTTGCAGTGAAAAGAAAATCAAAGGAAAAACTGGTGGAAAAATTTGGGGGGGATCAATTTACCTATCTGCTGTTTGATAACCGTAATTAAACATACAACAATGATCGCTCAATAGTGCATCCTTTCATTGGGTAGGCATAATTGCCCCGATGCTGCGACCAATCATCTTTCATGAAAACTAACATTCAAGCCATGAAAAGGTCATTTAGGAATAATTGCAGAGGAGGCCTACAAAAGCTGAGGCTAATGTACGTTGATAACTTGACAGCACAGAAAAGTCTGAATAAAACTGTAACACGAATTACAGCCCACGCTTTATGTGATCAGTGAAATGGCACACAAAGCATTAGGGATGCAACAATATGGGTATTGAGATAGCAAAGCTTTTTCACTGACAGCTACTGTATTTGGTTTCTCACAAAGCGGAGAGAACTGCTGTGACATTCACATATTGTTGCTTCTTCTTATGCTCCTCACAATCATCCAGTGGTAACATTTCAACCATGCAAAATGTGGCTTAGGTAAACAGTTGACTGGCCAGTGACATTGTACTTTACATACAGAGAAGGAAACCTTCAACAACAACAACAACAGCCTTTTCAATAAAAAGGTGCATTAAAAAAGTAGAACCCAACTAGGAAAAAGGGTAAAACTTTAAAAGTTTAGTAATGAAATGATATGTTGCTATCAAACAAGTCATTCAGGTTTATGATTTACTAAAAACTAGCTATAATTTGAATTTAATATGATAACATTGGTACATATAATAACACACAGCATTGGACCCGTGCCACAACAACAGTAAGGCCAATCTCACTCCCTTCTTGGTGTCATTTAACCTAAAACACAATCTTATCCTAAAGCTATTAAGTAGGGTTGACACCTAAACTATCGAAAACAAAAAGGGCAGTAAAAGCAAAAGTAAATACAAAGTGAAAATGACTGTGTGTTATTGACTAATTACACACAGGCCATGTAGTTACAGCACGCACAGTTGTCTTACTACTATCAGTTATAATGGTTATAATAGACAGCCAATTTGTGTTTATAGATGATCTATATAGTATTTATTAACCATTTGCAGAGCTTAGAAACATCAATCCAGCTCCACCTGTCAGAATGAATGTGGAATGGGTAAAGATCATGCATTCAGACTGATTCAGGCCCGGCTCCAATTCCTATCCTGTCATCTCCCAGCACTCTCTGCCCTGATCCATTCAGAGTGGCTTATTTCGTCCAACATAACCTGTGTTCCTCATTCAAAATTGCTCATCCTTCCAAAATTACACCGAAAGATCTAAAATCGAATTAAACAACATGTAGATAGTTCTGTAAAAGTTGACATGGTTGCCTTTACTTCACATTTATGAAAGAATTGGAAAGTTGCCCTACTTTTTTGAGTTAAACGTGAAGTACTTATAGTCACTTAACTCTAAATATTAACAGAGGCCGTCATTCATCAGTTAGAGAACAATTATTATTAAAAGATTTGTAAGCATTAAGTAATGGTGCAATTTCATTAACAGTAAAAGCTTTATTTTTATTAAAAATGAATTTTCCATTCATTAACTACGGTTAGTATAAAGTATTACTGGAAAAAAGTAATTATCCTGCATTTCATGGAGCTCTAGTGTGTAATACGAGTAAATAAATGTCAAATGATTCAAGTTAAATTGAAGTAATTTTAAGTGTATGTAAAATATCTGTTTCAAAATCTCCTTTCCAGAAGTCTGACTTTTACTTCATCTTTTTTTTCTATCTAGTTATATTTGATGTCACATTTCATGACAGTGGATTTGTCACCAGCCAATCACATGCCCCCAGCTGGGTCAGTAAAACATCCATTCACAGCAATGCTGTCAGTTGCTGGAGGAACCACAGAGAGACTCTGTGTGTGTGTTTTACTCTTTAAAGTAGTTGTCTGACTGAGAAACAGCTTTAAAAAACCATGATGCCATGTTAGCCAAGGTCACAAACCAGCACACCGAGCTGGCTGGGTAAGTAAGTAAGAAGCACATGTATGTGATGAAGAAGCAATGATCATCATTCAGAATTGGTTAAATTTAGTGTTGTTGCGAGTCCTAAAAGAATAACTGGCCAACTGTGCTATCACTTGTTTTCCAATTAAGCAGCTCAAGCTTTAGATCTGTAAAGAAAGGTCAGTTGTTAAACCGTTATCTTTTTTCTTTCCTTTTTTTTTTTTAAACTTGCAGTGTTTTTGATTTCTCTAAGCAGCAGTTAGGTTACTGGTGACAACTCTGCAATCATGAAATGACTTCTTTAAGAGTATTATTAGATATTTTACTGATTCTGAATTAGTTCCTGAAGTTTTTTTCCATCTATAATTGTGCTTATTTATTTGACTATCTGTGTCATTATGTTATATTTAAAAAAATAATATTAAACACTTCCTTTGGAGCAGAATTAGCTGGAGTTGGCCTGCCCGTCCTCTAAAGCTTTCCCCCTCCCCTCCCCCTCTGTCTGTGTCCCAGGAGGGCAACTGGAGGAGAATGACTGGTAAAACTCAGACCAGCAACGTGACCAACAAGAATGACCCTCGTTCCCTCAACTCCAGAGTCTTTATTGGCAACCTCAACACAGCCATCGTCAAGAAGACCGACATAGAGGTCATCTTCGCCAAGTATGGCAAGATAGTGGGTTGCTCTGTGCACAAGGGTTACGCCTTTGTACAATACATGAACGAAAGGAACGCCCGAGCAGCGGTGGCGGGGGAAAACGCCCGTATCATTGCTGGACAGCCTCTTGGTGAGTCTTTGCTTTGTTTTTGTTTTGTTCTTTTCCTCTTTGCTCTCAGGTATCTATCGTTTGCTATGCAGATTTTATTAGTATGAAAGCCCAGTGAAACATAGCCTATACTGTACTTCACGAACACTTTCCTCTTGAAATACAGAGGCTTGATCTTTGCGGGAGGAATGGATTGTCTCTCTCGGGAACAAAAAGTGCCTTAGGCATCTTTCAGACTTTTAGTTTAGAGCCTCTCTTGGCTCCTAAATGCTGAAATGTCTGTGTTTGTTGTCATGCTGTTTTTGAGAAAATCCCTGCTGAATCATTTAACTGATCCACTAGTGGATGTAAGCACAGTTTGATTTTAACATTTACTAAACATCAACTTGCAGAAAGTGTGTCAAAGTTCTTGTGACATACTATTTAGAGCGGAATGGAATTTATTATGTGGCATGGGATGCACCTCCAATATGCTGTGCAAGCACTGCTACTCTACTGTGCGTGCACTTTTTGTGTTTTATGTTGTTGTTGTTGTTTGTGAGTGGGTGGCAGGCAAAATGTTTAAGCAATCAAAAGACGTGAGTCAAAAGTTAACTTTTTAGACAAATGGAAACAAATTAGAAAAATACCGAAAAATCATTGTTATACGGTTGTGTGTGTCTTCACTCCAGAAGCAAACAAAGCTACAATTTAAGTTTCAGTGTTGAATTAAGTTTTGTCTCTGAAGGGCATTGTCTGGGGCCTTATCTTGTTAAAACATCTTTGCGAAGCCGAGGGATGAATTGCAAAGATACAGCGGAGCACATTCCTAGACACTACTGCTATCAAACATAATTTTAAAATGATCATGACCAGATAATGCTGTGCATGCAGGCAGGCGAGCAAGAGACCTTTTGATTAAATTCTCTGCAGCAAGTTTAGTGTTTCAACTAGGGAGCCTGGGCTCTGCAGTGAGTGCAATGTGCAAGAGTGTTAGTCATAATGCAATAACAGTAAAAAGAAATTAAACCTTCTTTCAGTTCTAAGGACCAAATAAACCATTTGGTCCTTAGCACATCTTAAAATTAACTAAATGCAATCTCAGATGAATTCCAAAACATGGTATATTACACTGTGTCATTATTTATATAACAAAAGTCAAACCAAATGCAGAAGCAGTTTGCAGAAAGCAAAATACATTCTTACAGCTTTTGTAAGAGACTAAGTAGCAGTCAGGTGCTGCTAACCAATGCACTTGATAATTACATCAGGAAGTGTGAGCACCTTATAAATGCAGATGTTTTAGTGGTTTGCTGGTCTGGAGCATTCCAGTGTGGGTTAAAACATTACCAAGGACACCACAAACGATCTTAAAGAAAGAATCGTTAGTGCCAGTCTGGTAAGGGAAGTGTTGCAGGACAATTTCCAAACAATTAGAAATGCTTCATTCTGCAGTGAGAAAGAATACTCACATGTGGAAAACATACCAATTACCAATCTTCCAGTGAATGTACCACCCCAAGGTCAGACTGTGCAGTCCTCAGACTGCTCAATGAGCTACATCTCAGGCTCTACAGGCCTCACTTAGCATGTTAAATGCTGAAATTTATGACAGCACAATTAGCAAAAGATGGAGAAAGTATTGCTCATTTCAAAGGGCTGCCAGGAGAAAGCCTGTCCTACTCTTGTGTCTAGAAAGAAAATAGCGGCATGGCTTAGGTTTGAAAAGTTGCAGCTGAATCAACTTTCTTGATGAATATCTTTTGGACAAAGTGGTGTTTGCCAAACATGATGCTGTCCATTAAGGCCAAACACCAAATACTGCATTTCAGCACAAACACATCACACTAAGTGTTAAGCACAGTAATGGAGAGGTGATGATTCGGCTTGTTTTATATACCAAAGTAATGTGAGGCCATCTAACCAACAGCCAAACTTTGTACAAAATTGGGACAAATTAACAGGACAATGATCTCTCTTCTTCACTCAGACTCAGTGCATTGTGCAGCTAATAACAATGAACTAAAAATGACTGGACAGGTGTGGTGTGGCTTTAAGGGTTTCCAGGAGAAAGCCTCTTCTCTATTAAATGAGATATTTGTCATTTAGGCTCTTATTTCATTGCAAAGAAACACGAGGCTCCCTACGGAGACATTGAAGAGGTACGATAATAACTGAACCCATAAAAGAACATAGATACAAAGCCAAGACATGGACATAATAGTGGACAATAAGGTAGACCTACAGGATCACTTTGGATACCTTGCAGTTTTGTGTCTTTATGATGTTGTATCATAAAGACCCAAAACTTTTGGTTCCACCATGATTTTTCTGTGATTATGGAGTAGAGAAGGACACAGCTTGATTGTCGGCTTGGACTTGAAAGTGGTCTTTCTAATCTTTTTGAAAAGGGAACATTTAATGAAAGAAAATGCAGAGCTCATTTAAAAGTTGTCTCTGCTGCATCAACCAGACAAGTTATTGATCTGCCTCCTTTCGACACAGCTTATATCTACCAAAACACCAATAGTCTGACAATGGTAGTCTGACTTGACTCTCACACCCTCCTATAAAAGTCTATACATGTGGTTCTTTCAGCTGCTTTTCTCTTGTTAAGATGTTGAGCTGTTCATGAAAGTGTTTCCTCTTTGCCAATTATTGGATATTTCCCCTGCACGCTTAACAAATGAGATGTTCCTCCTGAAAACTGATTGTGTGATTGAAGCTTTCTAAAACAAATAATAATAAGAAGAAGAAGATTTTTTTTTTTCTCTATCAAGATAAAACATCAGTATCAAGCATTGATGATCTCTCGTTGACTGGTTAATGTGAGCTAATGTGTTTTTGCTCTTGAGGATGTGCAATAGTTTGATATTTATTGTTATTTATGTTACAATCAGTGCATTAGCAGGAAAACTATCTGTTATTAAAACCATTCACGAGAAGGTTGATCAGCTGACAGAGCCAAAACCATATGTGAGCAATCCACCGAAGGCCTAATAAGAGTTAAACTGATTCATTTGTGACTTTAATGCTAGACAGGTGACTCTTTTTCATGTGTGATTGCTTGTTTTTGGTTGAGAAAACAATTATAACTAAAAGTATTTTCATTACTACAGAGTTCATTTCACACAAAGCAAGACAATCCAGCCTTCACTGCTATCACTCAGTCTGCAAGTCATGTGGCGTAAGTAAGACTGGAAGATAGATCTTTAATTGACAATTTAGACCACCCTTCTTCTCATCCTGCCAAGCTGATGCTTTTTATATTAACATGGCAGAGAAATGAATCAGCCCCGTAATGATTTCGTGATGAAGGATGACCTCCCCAAAGCATCCGGCTTCCTGTGCAAAAACATTTCATTAAAAGGTTATTATCTGCAAGTTGATTGCACGTCATCTTCACAGGTACGCTAACATTGCCCTGTTACTAAAGGACCGGCATTCATGTGTGTTGCTGTTTGAGCCACTGTTGACAATGTCTGTTGTTATCATTGACCGCCCACGCAAGACGAATCAACAAATCTTTGTGTGGAGGGAGAGGAATGTTTGAAAAAGCACAGTTTTGAAGTGGGAAAAGAGGTCAGTGGAATAATCACATCATACTTCGACTGCACAGCTCCACTTCAGTTGTGCAGACCCCGGGTGATGACTAATCTGTGCGCTCGCTGATACACAAGTGTCAGAGGTCATAGCCTGCTGCCACCACTGCAGATGAGACTGTCACTGTATATGTGCTATATGTTTGTGTGTGTGTGTGTGAATTGCAAAGCCGGCAGCACCGTCCTCCCCTCGCCTGCAGAATGAAAAATGGATGCTCCATTACTCTATCAAATATGAGTAGGAGTTCGTGAGATCGTAGCTAGGATTCTGAGCACAGCAATCATTACCAAATAATAGTACGTGTGATGCTATTTTGAGTGGAGCGCTGTATCTCTGTGCAATTCGCAGATACAAGCTTGAAGAAATTTCTCGTTTCGCACGAGCACAGATGTTTAATATAGCATCACATCAGACACGAAGATGCTTTCCTCTGTTCCTCTGTTGGTGAAACATTGAAAAAAAAAAAAAGCCCCAGTACATACTAGAAAGTAAAGAAACCTCCCTTGCCACAGTGTTGGCAGTATTTAAAGCAAAGGATTCTTGATTTGTGGATATCAAACGTGCAACGGTGGAGCTCTAGTGCCAAAATCAAAAGTAGAAAATATACAGTGCTGTGAAAAAGTGTGTGTTTCCTTCCTGATTTCCTATTCTTTGACATATTTACCATTTACCCTATGTGAAAGTAAGTGACCACCCCCCAAATCATGATTTTCCACACCCAGCCCTGATTACTGCCAGACTTGTTAAATCAAGAGGCCACTTAAACAGAACCTGTCTGACAAAGTAAAGCAGGCTTTAATATCACAAAAAGCAACACATCATGCCACAATCTAAAGAAACAGCTGAGAAAGAAAATCAATGAGATCTATCGGTTTGGAAAAGGTTGCAAAGACACTTCTACGGCTTTGGGACTCCGGTGAACCACAGTGAGAGCTATTATCCACACAAGAAAAAAACTTGAAACGGGGGTGAACGTGTCCTGGTTCAACAGTGTTTTTTTTTTAAAAAAAGAAACAGTGTTGGAGAGGTCTGTTCATAATCAGGATGCTTTGGCATGACCTTAAACAGGCCGTACATGCTGAAAAACGCTCCAGTGTGGCTGAATTAAAAATTCCTCCACACTGAGGTGAAAGATTTATTGCCAATTATCACAAATGGTTGATTGCGGTTCTTATTGCCAAGGGTGGCGCAGCCAGTTATTATGTTTAGGAGGCAATCACTTTTTCACACAGGTAGGTTTGAATGATAAAAGAACAATAAATGAAATCACCATTTAAAAATACAGTTTTGTATTTACTCGGTTTATCTTTTGTCTAAAATCTGTCTAAAATGTGTTTGATCATCTGAAACATTAAAGAGTGATAAATGAAAAATATGCAAAAAAAGAAAAAAGGAAAGAAAGACATTGTTTTTCAATTTATATATATCACAGTATCCTT